CCTGAGCAGGTGAACAAATGCAGCTGCTACAAAGAGCAAACAGCAAAACAAATAGCATGTTTTATTTTCAACTATATAATACACACTTTTCAAATTTAAATTCTTGCATAATTGTTTAGCAGGGCTATAAAATCTGTTCTTGACCCCCGTTTTCCCCATACATATTTGTATCTATTAAAAGAGCAAGCCTCATTCTTGCATGTATCATGCAACAAGTGCAATACACAATATCGCATCTGTGCCTGTGCATACACATGCAAGAGATGAGTGAGCTAGTTTTTTCCACATGAAATATATTACAAACTTTAATGATAACTAGGAAAAGAACTGCACTTGTTTGCTTTTAATTCATGCAAGAATGAAGTTTCATCTTTTAATTCCGATGTTAATAATCTTCCACATTCTTAAAATCAAGACTACTTTCAAAGGTAAATACCTAGTATATTCGAACTTTATAGAATCATAACATTGCAAAATTCAGTGCTGTTTTCAGTTGGTGCTAAAAAACTCATCCAGCTGACCTTCAATCCCAAAGATGGGAAATCTGGTTCCTGTGCACATTTAGGTGTTTTACTATCATTTCCACACTCTATGAATGTTTTGTTAGACAAGTTTAAAGTCATTATAATCTATAGGGTCACAATAGTTTAAGATGTAAGATGCCAGCATATACTCCTGGGGAAAAAATCTTTTTATATGGAAACAAGCACTTAGAAAATGTAACAGGTACACACATTCTGCCACTGCCCATTCAATAAAATATTGCAGAACTTGATATTTGTTTTAATTGACACCTCTCACAGACTTTAAGAACACTGATTGGAGGAAGCGCTAGAATGGGTAAGCATAGCATTACTATTCCTAAATTCACAGTCACTGGTGAACTCAGTTCCTTCGGTGATGCTTACTTGTCTAAGTCCCCTCATTGCCCCACCATTTCACTTTAAAAGTCATTCGGAAAGTTTTTCATTCCAAACAAATAAGCTTTTTATAAAGTTCATTACATATTGTTCTTAGAACAATAACTTGTTTTACTCATCATGAGCAATACTAAAATTCACAGTAATTGAGTATTCAAAATATACTGACTTTGGCATAGTTGAAATAAAACTCAAAGAACTTGTTATGCTTCTAAACATTCAGTTCTCTTGACATATATTGAGAATACCAAGCAACAAAAAGCACTCAGCTTTATGAAAATTGTACTGGTCCAAATGACAGTGGAGCTTCTCTTGAGCTGATATTTTGTGAGCATCTTAGCCCGAACTCCTAAAGTAGTTTAATATTGATTAGGATCACACCTCCGTCTTACCATGTAATAAATGGCTTATTCTGGACTATGCCATCTGTAAAGTAATTCTGTCTGTTTCAACAGTGTCCCCAGGCATTTTTTAAAGAGCAACCTGTTCTGCCAGTGTGAGACAAATGCACCAGTTTGACACTCCATGATAAAGAGTGGTTTGGGTCATTTCTGATAACCACAATTCTACTTCAATGGGTCTTAATCATCATCTAACCATTTTTAAAATTAAGCAAACCCCCCCCCCCATCCATTTTCTATTTAAAATGAATCAGCTTTGACAAATCAGAGCATTAGCCTTCAGAGCATTAGCCTGAACCGTGTTCTAAAACTTTGGGAATTATCATGGTAACTTTTTTTACTGCAGAACAACAAGAAAAAGCTACACACCAAATATTTTAGACAGTAAGCCCATTCTATAGTCAACAAGATTACTCTGGACAAAAACAGAACATATGCATATTATCTAAAATATTATTTCAGTGGTTAAAAAGGGGAGAAGACAACTAATTGAGTTCTCAGTATGTATAATTTATTGCAGTTAGCACACAGTTTAAAAATTCACCAACACACCAATAGTACAAAACTAAACAGCATTATAAGTTATTCCCCCTCCCTCTCAGGAAAATAAAACATACTATGATTGTCAAAGCTAGATGTCAGTCTAATTTTTAGAACCAAAAAATAATGAGAAACTAAAGGGCAAAAGGAAAAAACCCCAAAACAATCGCTCACAACCACAAAAAAATCCAAAAGTAGTCCATTTTTATCAGACATTGATTGTCTTTTCTAAATTAATAAAAAGAATGATTTTAAAACCTATGAACTATTCAAGTAACTAAAAAATAATGCTCCAAGGCCATTTTCACAGCTTTTTTTAAAAAATGCCATTACAGCCAAATTAACATACATTTGACCAAAATATTTCCAAAACAGTCCAGTAATACACAATGGAGTTTTCCATTCAGTTTCTTAAGCACAAAAATAGGCTATGTTTACAGTAGTTAAGGCGATCAAATTTGAAACAAAAGCGGAAAGGGAAAAAAAAAACAATTTTCCATGCTACTCCCATAGACCTTATTTGTAAGTGCAAGACAGGAAAACAAACACTGTGCAAAATGCTTTTGCCCTGTGTGTTCATCCTTAAAACCACACATCAGGCTGCAGTCTTTGCTACTTGGATACACAGGTCACTAACCATCCCCCAACTTTTCTCCCACTATTCCCGCACTCCACCCCATGTCAATCAAGGTTTTCTAGTCCTTTCAGCCTGGGGCTTTTTTACTCAAAAGAATCTTTTCAAGGGGTGAAAAATATGAA